CTTTTTCTCTCTCTTCTTCTTCTCGTACCCCTATAATGCAGATTTTGTTCCTTTTGGATTGGTCACACAGTTCTCTTAATATTGTTTCATTCCTGGAGATCCTTTTATCTCTGAGTCAGCTTTGTATGCGTTCCTGTTCTCTGAGTTCTATTCCATCAGTGGCCTCTTGCATCTTATCCATTGTACTTATAAATCCTTCCTGAGATTGTTTCATTTCTGTAATCTCCTTCCATACATCATCCCTTAGCTCTTGCATATTTCTCCGCAGGTCCATTGGCATGGTTATGACCTTTATTTTGAATTCTTTTTCAGGGAGATTTGTTAGGTCTATCTCCCCAGATTCCTTCTGAGGGAAGGATGTCTGGGTTAGTCTGGTCTGTATCAAATTCTTCTGCCTTTTCATGGTTATAGAGGTAGTTGCAGGAAGCTGGTGCGTGTTTGGGCTGGGAGAACATCCCTTCTTGCTGGTTTGTGGCCTTCCTCTTCTGGGAGAACAGCGACCCCTAGCGGCTTGTGCTGGGAAGCTGCGAACAGACGGGATTTCTAATTCTTGCCCAGCCGCTGTGAAAGAAGCTGACCTCTTGTGGGCGTGGCCAGCCTCAGGTTGCTGCTCCAGGGCGGTGTCGGAGCGGCGTCGGAGGGGAAATGGGCGGGAGGCTGTTTTTCTCTGCGAGGGGCCTCCAAGCAGTGTTGCCGCTCAGGGGTTTAGGGCACCCGGAGTTCCCTGGGATTCCCAGCTGCTGGGCTAAGTGTCCCTGGACGTTTCCATCCAGCTGTGGGGTCCCTGTTCCTTTAAGTCTTTAAAAAAGCACTTGCTTTTCTTTGTCCCAGGGTGCTGGTTTCCGGGACCCACTCGCAGGTTTTACTGTCCCCTTTCCCTAGTATCCCGCACCCCACGCACTGTATGCCTGCACTCCCTTGCAGATGGCTAGGGCTGGGTGTTTAGCAGTCCTGGGCTCCCTCACCCTCCCCCCTCCAACTCCTCTCCTCCCGCCGGGAGTTGGGGTGAGGGGCGCTTAGTCCCGCTGGGCGGTGGCTTGTATCTTACCCCCTTCACGACGTGCTGGGTTCTTGCAGGTGTAGATGTAGCCTGGCTGTTGTCCTGTATCTTCTGGTCTCTCTTTTAGGTATAATTGTATTTGTTGAATTTTCAAAAATATATGTGGTTTTCGGAGGAGATTTCCACTGCTCTACTGACGCTGCCATCTTGGCTCTGCCCTGCATACAATATTTTTGTTAAAATGTCTAATTTATTGAATATGTCTCCTCTTTGATGCTCACAAGGAAAAACTACTGTATGATTTTCCACACTACATTTGATGACTCTTCTTTGTTATGGTTTTTCTTCTATTGTTTAGGGCTATATTTCAGGGAAGAGTCTTCCCATATTAATTACATTCCTAAGGTTTTTCTCCAGTGTGGATTTTCTGATGTTCAATAAGACTTGAGCTGTGCCGAAAAGCTTTCCCACATTTCCCAACCTATCCCACAGTGATAAGTTTTTTGTCCAGATGAATTCTGTGATGCAGTAGGATTGAGCTCTTCATAAATCTTTTCCAGTCCTTACACCAATAGGGTTTATTTCCACTATGAGTTTTCTTATGTCCAGAAAAGGGTATATACCTGAAATGTTTCTCACATTTACTGCAGTGATAGGGTTTCTCTCCTGTATGCATTCTTTGATGACTAATAAGAGTTGAGCTCTTCCTAAAGGCTTTTCCCCATTCATTACACCAATATGCTTTCTTATCAGTATGGATTTTCTTATGTTCCAACACAGTTGAGTTATCCCTGAAAGCTTTCCCACATTTATTACATTTAAAAGGCTTTTCTCCACTGTATATTCTCATTATGAGCAAGGGCTGCCTTCTGAGCAAAGGCTTTCCCACTGTCTTTACATTTGTAGGGTTTCTGATAGGTATGATTCTCTGAAGACTTAAAAGGATAAAGTTCTTTCTGAAAGCTTTTCCACATTCACTAAATTTATGGAGTTTCTAGAGTGAATTCTGTGATGATTAATAATTATTGAGTGCTTCTTGAGAAATTTCTCCCATTCAGTATAAGGTTGCTTGCTTATGTGAATTTTATGATGATTTAAAAGAGATGAGCTGCTCATAAAGACTATTCCACATTCTTTGCATTTATAGGATATCCCACAAGTCTGATTTCTCTGGTGGCTAATAAAGGAGGAATTATATTTGAAGATTTCTCCCCCCATTACAGTGCTTCTTCTCTGTGGAGCTTCTATCCTCCCAATCCAGGCCTTTATCAATCATGTGACTTTTTGTTTATTCTTCCAGAGCAGATCCTTCACAGGTATTTTGCTTCAGGGCTAAAATCCTTATTTCAAACCAGTACTCCTGGACTGCACAGTTACCTGGTGGAACTTTTCACATCTCCATTCAGGACTCTGCTTCTTGCTTCAGTTGAGCGATTAATTTTGTTTTGAAAGAGAGCCACAGACACCAGATTCCCATAGTTTTCCAGCATCATATCTCTTTGCATGTCTGCTGAGTGGTATCCTGGTGTTTCCATTCAATCTGGCTAAAAGGCACATCCCCAAATGTCAGTGATTCCTGGATCTTGGTAGTCTCCTGGGCTGTTCTCCCAGGCAAGGGTAGCCAGTAGTTCTGGAACCTAGATGTCCAAAGTCAAAGTGTTGGCAGGATTGGTTCCTTCTGAGACTCTTCTAGAAGCTTCTTGTGATCACTGTCAATCCTTGGTGTTCCTTGGCTTACAGCTGTATCACTCCAGTCTCTGCCTGTGTCATCATATGGCATTCTCCCTGCATATTTCATTGAATTTATACTTTGCTTAATTTCTAAAATCAGCATCTAAGGCTCTAAGTGTCCCTCTAAACATTGCTTTAACTGCATCCTACAGATTTTGATAGGTTGTGTTTTCATTTTCATTCAGTTCAAAGGATTCTAATTTCCCTTTTGTAGTTTCAAACTACACTTGGGGCAAATTAGCATTTGTTCAAAACCTGAAGGGGACGGTTATCCAGATGTCTGGAGCCCTTTCTCTTTGTAGCTTCCTCCTCTCTTGTAGTTTGTTCCAAAATTCTCGCTGTCATAGTCACCCTGAACTCTCCCCTCAGTGCAGCAAGACTGCCCTGTTTTGCCTGGGTTTTTCTTGTGCCACAGTCCAGAGCATGCCTCTGTGCAGAGAGCCAGGGTGGCCCCAGGGCTCCCCTTGTTTCCTTTGTCTCTGATATTACAGTCCTGGATTACCTGTTGTTCAGTACCTAAAAACAGTAGATTCATGTATTTTGTCTAGTTTTCTGGTTGCTCCTGTTAAAAGGGCAAACCCTATGGCAATTTCTCCTTCAAGGGCAGAAATGGAAGTCACAGTACCTTTTTAAAAATTAAAATACTGGCTTTTACAGCACAATAGAAGTTATTTTCATCTATGTGGACCTCTTCACTATGTTAAATATGGAGAATTTTTCTGAGAAGAATGATGGAAAGTTGATATAAAGATAACTGACAGTAGCTACTGATGTAATGATTTATGGACTGGAACCAAGTCTGTTACAGGTAGCTGTTACCAAGGGTCATACCACTGGTTGCTGTGGAAGAAGATGGATGAGGAAATGAGGGGTATATCGGTGGCTTCATTTTCTTTTTTTAGTTGCTATTTATTCAGTTTTTTCTCAAGGAAGTACTTTCCTTTTTTCCCTAGCCTTCTAAATTGTCTTGCCTGGTGCTAGGTTTGTGCCTGTGTATCTTTTAAATAACAATAGCAGATTGGCTTCCTTAGGGCCTGCTTGACTCAGTAATCCAGAAACCTGTCTTTTCCTCCTCTTACCTCTCAGTTGACTGGTGCCCATGTGCTGTCTTTTGGGCATGTAGTAGGTATTTCCTGGGAGTCAGGTTGGCTTAAGTTGGTTATCAGGTGGTTGCTTTTGTGAGTCAGAGCCCTTTTCCAGTTGTGTGTAGGTGTAGAAGTACAGACAAGATATCCATCTATTTAGTGCTTTGATTCTACAGCATATTTTCTACATGTGGTTTTAAAATACATCCTATGTTATAATGCCAGGGCCAAGGCTAGGGTGAAAGAAAGAGGCACCTAGTGCACGATACTTAAGGAGGCACTCACTCTCAAGGTCAGGTAAGCCAGCTGCTCCTGCGAGAGTGGGAGCACCTCCTGAAGTTTTACACCTGAGGCTCCTCTCTTGTGTCACCCTGGTTCTGGTCCTTATAACCTTGATCACAGGTGGTTACAAATACCTGTATAACTAAGACCTTAAAATGGACTCTCTGTAATGTTTTCATTTAGAATATGTTTTGACTTCATCTAAGAAAACAGAAGTGAGGTATTATTTCAGGAGAATTAATGTCATGCCTGCAGTAATTCAACAGCCCACAAATTTATCCATTTGCAACATTAGCCAGAAGTTTGGACCCTGTTATCTTGACTAACCATAGTAGGTCACTGTTGTACTTCTGTTCCTTTATTTCTTATCATGACATAGCTTGTTATTAGGAAATTCATTCTAGCAGAATCGCTCTCATGATTAAAAATTTGTTAAGCTTTACTGCTGCTCTGGGTGATACCATGATAATGCAAAACCACCTGACTTTGGTGAACATTTCGTTAGAAATGGATGAACTTGGAACCTGCAAGAGGTCAAGAGTACTTAGTTTGTGTTATTGCTAGTTCAGAGGGGGAATATTCCATCTTGTTTAACTACCTGCTCTCTGGCCCTGTAGTCCTCAGACTGTCCCTGAGAAATGCCAGGGAGATGAATGGGAGGTCAGGTGGTGGGACTTGGCTCCTCCATTCCTCCATACACTTCCACCAGAGCAGCCCTTCTGTTTTGTTTTGTTTCTGTTTCATGGAGTTCTGTGTAAATGGTCTATGTGGAAGGAATTCATTGAGAAGAGGACCCAGTGATGAATGTGGAATAGTACTTCTACAAGCTAAAATATCCTGCACCAAAAAACACTCTTCTGCTTTTCCTATTCCACTTAGTAGACAGCTTTCCCACCCTCTAAAAAACCAGTTTTCAAAATAGCCTCAATGTTGGTGTTCAAGGCTGTTTACAGAGCAGTAGTTTCTGTTTTTATTTCACCTTAAAATGTTTCCATGCTTTGTTTTTAGATGCCAGTGAAAGCAGGTGCCAGCAGGTGAAGACACAATTTGGAGTTGGCCTGAGATCTGGGAGAGAAAATCACCTCCGGCTTCTTGACGGAACCCCTTCTCTCCAGTCATGTTGGGCTGCCTGCTGCCAGGACTCTGCCTGCCACGCCTTTTGGTGGTTAGAAGGGATGTGCATTCTGGCAGACTGCAGCAGGCCCCAGAGCTGCTGGGCTTTTAGGACAGACTCTTCCAAATCCATGCTGGTGTTCTTAAAAAAATTCCAAACCACAGATGATTTGGGCTTTCCACCTGAGGCTGATGTACCACATATTCTGGGACTAGGTTGGAGCAGAGCATCTTGGAGGAGGCAGAGCCCACCCAGAGCTCCACTCAGACTGACTGTATCTTCCAGTGAGCAGCAAAGCTTAATCAGGAAGCTTTGGAAGAGAGAGAGTCCCAGTGAAGAAATAGTTACTTCTGTAGTCACAAGGCATTCTGAAATGAATGACTCCAAAGCACTAGGTGATCTGAATACCAGTGGCTCTGCAGAGGTAAGCATATTTTGAGTAAGGGCAAAGAAACTGTTAAATGTGCTTTTATATTCAGCACACATGAGCAGTGAAGCTGGTGTTTGTGGGCAGTGCTCCTAGACTAAGGAGGTGAAATGTATAACTGCTTGGATTCGTCTTTGTGGGTTTTGCCCAGATGTAGTACAAGGGTCATTTGGCCTTAGAGACATTTACTCCATGCAAGTCTGAACATTGTTTTGTAAAAGCAGAAGGCTGTTCATTATCTAGTCTGAGCTGGTTCTTGGCTGCAGGTAAGTGCATTGTGTAGGTGTTTATCTCCACCAACAATTCTGCGGTGTTTTCTGCCAGACTGCAAAGCACTTGATGGGATTACAGTCAAATTCTCCTCCTCCTCTCCCATCTTCCACTGGTAAACACATTCTTTGTGAGGTAGTTTCTGTTCCAGTCTGAAGTAACCATGTCTGGTACTGCAGATTAAGTGTCTGACCTGCTGGGCTGGGGAGCCAGATACGGCCATTAGCCAAGAGATCTCTGGGGTGAATTCTCAGCAAGCTTTGTATGCCAAGGGAGATACCACCAGTAGAGTTGTTCTGCTTATTATGTTTCTTCATTGTGGATCTTCCTGGGAAAATGATTAAAAGGAATGACTCACTCCATACTCAGTCTCCCTTGATTGCTGTGACTTATTTTTGTATTTGTTTTGTCCTAGTTGTCTCTATCAAATTGAAGCCAGAGTGGGGAGGCTACTACATGCCAGGCACTGTGTGTGCTAATCATTGTACTGTGTAATTTTGTTTATTTCTCATAGCAGTACGTCCAAGTAGGTTTTATTAGCCCTGTTTTACTGCTGAGGAAACTGAGGACAAAGAGGTTAAACAATTTGATCACATAGCTAATGAATAGCAAGCCTAGACTTGAAATACATACTTAATATTAAGAAAAAACCTTCCAGTGCAATATGACAGATACAGTCTTAGGTTTAATATGCCTGTAAACATTTATGGACACCTATTATCAATGTCAGGTACTTTTCTAAACACTAGACATACAAAAGTGAACAAGACATTGTGGCCTCAGAGAGTTCACAGTCTAGGGGAGAAGATAGGTATTTACAATAGTATGTAGTTTTGGCATTAGTAGGGTTATGTACACAGTACACTAGGAACACAAAAAAGGAAGTGATCAACTTGAGCAGGCCAGTGTGTGTTATGTGCAGTAAGACTTTACAGAGATGTTTAACTTACTTGAAAGATGTGTAGAATTTCACAGTGGGGTTAAAGGTAGCAAAAAACATTCTGCACTGAGGCACAGTGTGTGCAAGAGCTCAGTCAGCAAATATTTATTGCACACTGACTATGTATAAGGTACTACATACTAAGCTAGGCATTAGGGATATTATAGTAAATAAAGTAAACATGATTTCTTCCCTAACAGAGCTTATGCTCTGGAAAGGAAAACAGACAATACATTTATAATAATGGAACAATTATAAGTTTGTTACAAGTTTGAGAGGATAAGTAGAGTGCTGCAGGAGCATCAAGCAGCACCTAATGGAGACTTAAGAGGCAAGGTAGGCTACCCTAAGTAAGGAAAATTTAAGCTCAGATTTGTAGAAGTGGGAGTTGGGAAAATAAATAGGCAAGAGTATTTCAGGCAGAGGGAATAACAATTGCAAAGTCTCTTAGGTGCCCTAGAGCATGGCAAAATCAAGCAATTGAGAGATTGGTTTGGTCAGAGAGCTAGTAATAAAAGAAGAGGCTTGAAAGGTGTGCAGAACCTTGAGGCCTTTATAAGATACTGTTCATTTTCTCTATAGCATCTTTGATAGACAGTGACTGCAATGGGGTGGTGGTGAGGGGTGGTGGTGGTGATAATATGGGTGCATGTTGAAACCACAGTGTTGCTCATGTGAAACCGTCATTAAGATTGTATATTAATACCTTAAAAAAAAGATACTGGTCTTTTTCTTAAGATCAGGGGGAAGCCATTAAAGAATTTTAAGCAGGGAATAGCATAATCAGATATGTTGCTGCATGGTGAATAGATTGGAGAGGAGCCAGAATGTACCTGGAACAATCAAACAGGAGCCTCTTCAGGCAAGGGAACCACTGCACTAAAGATGGAGGTTAAAGATACAGAAAAGGGGATAAACAACACATAATCCCTTAGAACTGTGGTTCTCAAACTTTAGCATACATCAGAATCACCTGGAGGCTTTGTAAAAACAGATCTCTGGGCCCTAGCTGCAGATCTTCTGATGAAGTAGATCTGGAGTGGGGCCTAAGAATTTGTATTTGTAACAGTCCCAGAGAGTACTGATGCTGGGAACCACCCTTGGAGAACCACTGCAGTAGAGGACAAACACTTTAGAATCCAAAGCATAAAGCACCAAGATTAGTCTTAAGCAGGAGGAGAGACACCTCCTTCCTTGTGATAGGAAGGAAGAAGTGGGTGCAGGTAAGTGTAGCCAAGATGGGTTTCTAGGGTCAGTAGAAAGACATTGTATTGTGGTAGTTCAATCTCATTCTTGGTTTTTTTGTGAAGTGAGATAGAGCATTTACTGAGAATGGAAGCAGAGGTAGGTGGACTGGGGATAGATAGGTAGTAGGCAGAAAAATCAGATTTAGAAAGAGAGGTAAAGATCTGAAACAACCATTGCAAAGGATAGGAGATGGCAAACTAGGTGGGGAAATAGCTTACTGGGTAGCAGTGAAGATGGAGACTGAATTTATAACAGTGGTACTGCTCTTTACAGTTGTATGATTCTCCTTAGTAACTCACAGCAACCTTGTCAAGAAAAGGCCAATAGTTTTTGATTCATCCAGATTTGGAACTTTGCCAATCCCTTATGGGAAACTGGATATATATAGAAAGTGAGGTTGTTGTCAAGAGAGTGGGTGAAAGAGAGAGGATCAGAAGGCAGTAAAGAGGTAAAGGTAGGAGGGGCCGACTGAGATAAGATAGAGGAATTTGGCATTTAGAAGTTCTCCTGATAGGAAGCAGATACAGGGGGCACAAGTAAATGTGAGTCCTGGAAGGACAGGATGTAGTAGTCAGATAGGGGATATTTGAATTTAAGCTTTTGGAGGTGGAGAAGTTGTAGCCATTACCCGTGTACCTGTGGAAGAAGGTTGCTGGTGCAGAGTGGAGAAAAATGTAGAGACAAGGAGCTCAAAGAACTCAGGAAGCTCAAAGAACAGGTTAAATGAGTTATCCAGTGGGTGCTGAGATATACTTTAATGATGCTGGTGATGATAATAGCAGTAGCTGATATTTACTGAGTGACCACTTAACTATGTGGCAGGGACCATTCTGGACCTTTTTCATGTATTAACTCTTTTAATCTGTACAACAAATCCTGTGAAGTACTACTGCCATCTCTACTTTATAAATGAGGAAACTCAGGGAAAGAAAGGTTCAGGACCATGGCCAAAGCAGCATAGCTAGTACATAGTAGGACCAAGACTTGAACCCAGGCAGTCTGATTCTATCCAGAGTCTGTTGACTTTAACCTTCTTAATATAGGAGGAGTAGTAATCAGTAGATTGGGAGATGAGAGCTTGTGAGAGTTGAAGTGTAGTTCAGCAAGATGGTGAAGGAAAAATGGATTTTACAAAGAAGGTATAAGGGTGATTGTTTGCAAAGGGCATTGGAAGGGGAGAAAATAAAATAGCAACCCACTTTCAATCCTGAATGTAGGATAATTTGTAGCCATTATACTATAGAGATACATGGGAAATAGTATCTTCAGGGTAGGGCATGCTTACAGTTAAGGATAGGCCAGGGACCACTGTATGGATATGTGACCTGTACAGTTATACAAGTCTCCACACTTAGAAAGACCCTGTTCTTGGTTTAATGCTTTGCCTTCAATGAATCATCTTGAAGTTCTTAATTTTTAACAAGGAACCCTGCATTTTCATTTTGTACCAGATCCTACAAATTATGTAGCCTGTCCTACAGGAGGTACAGGGAACAAAGCATGAAATGACTGATCGTATAGGTGACTTTTTGATCATGGAATAGAAAGACTATGTGATGTGATGGAATTTCTGAGAGAAAGATAAAGAGGCTGGGTTTTCTAAGAGAGGAAATGTAGGTCATTATAGGGAAAAAAGTTGTGATAAACTAGCCCTGAGTTGTAGACTTGGCCAATTTCTGTGGTGTAAATACTACCACCATGACCAATTGCAGGCTACCAACATGAAGTTAATGAACATGAGAGTTGGAAGAGATGGGCACAGTAAGCTCATATGAGCTGGCTCCAGCACACACAGGATAATTATGGTGAATAAAATTAGACATGAGCCAGTAAAATTAGAAATATGGTAGAGTTAATACTGACAGTCTCCTGGATGGTGGTGAAAACTCAAAATTGAACCTTAAAGAATTCAGGTGGAAGGAAGATCGTGAGATTGTGTTGGCTGGGAAGTTCTTTTTCTTCCTGTTCACCAGCAGTGAACTGTGGCAATAAATTGCTGCAAATGAACAGGCTGTTGAGCTTTATGGTCTAACATGGGAGAAGGAATATTGAACTTGAACTAAGAGTCTCAAGAGTGGGAGTGAGCTTTTGTGTATTGTTGCACAGAGGCATTACACAGATTTGTATCAATATGTTGAGAATGGCAAGTCTTGCTAAAAAAATAGGGCAAAATGAAGTTTTCAGTTCTAGACAAGTTATATTTGACCTTATATACTATGCTTAGGAGTTTGATTCTTATCCTGAAGCCATGGGTAGCTCTGGCAGGGTGGTAGGATCACCTTATGCATTCAGAATAGATAACTGGTAGGCATTTATTTTTGGAGGTTTTGCAGTTCAAACTTTTGCTTAAGGCTCTAGGGAAAGGAAGAAAAGTGTATACACTGCACATCTCCTCCTAATTAGGGATGACTGGCTAGCAGCACTAGTTTGTAGTTTGTACTGTTTTCTCCAAGGTAGGTCAAGCATCTGCATCCAAAGTGGGAAGAAATTGTATCATAAATTGTTCTTGTCCTGCCTGAAATGTCTGCAGAGCTGCAAA